GGCTCAAGTGATTCTCATGCCTCAGCCTCCTGAGTAGCTGGTACTACAGCCGTGTGCCACCATACCTGGCTAATTTTTGTGTTTTTAATAGAGATGGGATGTCACCATGTTGGCCACGCTGGTCTCGAACTCCTAACCTCAGGTGATCCACCCATTTTGTCTTCCCAAAGTGCTGGGATTACAAGCATGAGCCACTGTACCTGGCCAACACTTCTTATCCTATGCCTTCCTTCTCCACATCCTGCCAATACAACTATATCTTGTATCATCATTTTTTATCAGAACAATATTCAGGGCTTATATTATCATGACTAGGACTTTATTTACAACGGTGCCAAATAATGCTTTATGGTTACCTTTTATTTACTATACTACTTTTGTATTTGCCTATCTTTCTAAGTGCCTGTGACCAATTCATCCCCTATTCTCCACCCTTTCAGTTTACTAACTGATTAAGTGATCTGTCAATTACATGGTCTTAGGCGCTGTCCACCGAAGCCTGCTGCTCTGTTGTGTAGTTTTGCCTGGTGATCTGTAGGCCTGCTGTACAGCTGTCATTCCCAGACCTCCCTTCACAAACAGCCAGGGAATTTTTAAACGTCCTTTCCTTGTTGAGTCTCTTGTTTCCTGCATCCAGTTTTTTGAGGGAAGAAATGCAGGGGGCAGGGCAAGGACACTGTCCAGATAGTGTGAAATCTGAAATCTCAGTTCACGGTGCCAACTCTTATGACAGAGGGTTCTGTAATCATGCATGAGTCACTGGTTTTCTTCCTACTTCAGAGAACTTCAAATTTTGCTGGCAATGCCCAGCATCCGTCACTGCAGGCATTCTATTTTGGTGTCATCAACTTCCCTGCTCAAGTTTTCACTGCACTTGGCATTCCTTCTGCATCTATATCGAGGTTTAAAGTTCTGGATTTCAGCTGGGCGTGGTGGCTCACGCCTGTAATCCCAGCTATTTGGGAGGCTGAAGTGGGTGGATCACCTGAAATCAGGAGTTCGAGACAGCCTGGCTAACATGGCAAAACCCTGTCTCTACTAAAAATACAAAAATTAGCTGGGCATGGTGGCTTGCGCCTGTAGTCCCAGCTACTCGGAAGGCTGAGGAAGGAGAATCACTTGAACCCAGGAGGCAGAGGCTGCAGTGAGCCGAGATCGCGCCACTGCACTCCAGCCTGGGCAATAGAGCGAGGCTCTGTCTGAAAAAAGTAAAAATAAATAGATAGATAAATTTCTGGATTTTAAAACACTCACTGTTGTTTTCAATAGTCTATGGGGGTGAAGGAGGGACAGACGTCTTTCTTGGGATTCTTACGTTGGAATCTCCTGTTATTCTTCTAATTAGAAAAAGGATTAATTATGTTAAAAAAAAAAAGACAAATCTTATTGTTAATCGCTCTGCAAACCAACAACACAAAAATATTTAGAGAAAAGTGCTGAAGGAAATGCATTAGAAATGCTAAATCTTTAAATGGTGAATTTATAAGTGTTCTTTTTCTTCAGTTCTGCCTTTAGGTTTCTTTTTGTTGTTTTTTTTTGGACACATGGAGCACATATTACATTTACTGCTGGAAAATATGTAAGTTGGAATAAAAACAATGTAGAAAACACTGAATCTGCTTTTAGAAAACGACTTCTATGGCGTGTGTGTGTGTGTGTGTGTGTGTATGTCTGCGCACGTGTGTGTAGGCGTGGGTATTTTAGCAGAATCTGATCTAATCTGTGTGTCTGTCAGAGTTAGGAGGTAGCGCCCTAGGGCTTTAACTAGAGATGAAAAGGCATACATGGAACAATGGATGGAGTCCTGCAGGGGACCATTGTCTGCCTGAGCAGAAAGCTTGTACTTGTGTAACAATGGCTGGGGAAAAAATGAAAACTCATTTCATTTTGGGATAATTTTATTGTAAAGTATATCACACGTACAACAGAGAATATAACTTTATTGCATAGTTAAAAATAATATTAAAATGAACACACATGTATTCACCCCAATTAAGAAATACATTTCTAGAAACTAAGAAGCTTCCTGTATATTTCTCCCCTATTTCTGTCTCCCTAATTCCATCCTCTTCCTCCCCAACCAGAGGTAGCCACTATTTTGAATGTCATGTCTATTATTTCCTTACTTTTCTTTATGATATTACTACCTATATATGTCTCCCTAAATAATATGCTATTTAGTTTTACCTGTTTTTGAACTTCATATAAATGGAATCATAATAGATGTGTTCTGTGGTTTGTGTATTTTTTATGACATTGTATTCTTAGAGTTCTTTCAAAATAGTGCATATAGGCCAGGCGCAGTGGCTCACACCTGTAATTCCAGCACTTTGGGAGGCCAAGGCAGGCAGATCACTGGAGGTTAGGAGTTCAGGACCAGCCTGGCAAACATGGTGAAACCCATCTCTGCTAAAAATACAAAAATTAGCCGAGCATGGTGGCAGGCACCTGTAGTCCCAGATCCTCGGGAGGCTGAGGCAGGAGAATCGCTTGAACCCAGGAAGCGGAGTTTGCAGTGAGCTGAGATCACGCCACTGCACTCCAACCCAGACAACAAGAGCTAGACTCCGTCTCAAAAAAACAAAACAAAATAGTGAAAGTGAATGTCATTTTCCATACTGAGAATGACCTTATCAACATTTATTTCCAATTTTTTGCTATTTTGAACAGCAATGCTTTGAAAATTCTTGTTCATCTCTCCAGGATATCTGCTTTTTTTTTCTGTTTTAATCTCACAAACACTACCAGGTTGGTTCCTTTAAACCTGTTTCAGAGTATATGAAAATAGGTTAAAACAATTTTCCCAAAGATATAAAGCTGGCAAATACTGGGAGTTTGAACTCAGGTTTTCCTCATTCCACAGCCCAAGCGATTTACTATTACAAGATGCCACCTTCCTTTTAGTGATTGCCTTGTGGCACAGCTGCATGAAATTGTGGATACTGAGGTCAATCAGGTCATAAAAAGCCTCTTTTGATCTGATGTCATGCTTATCAAGCAACCTTCTGAAATCCGGCTTCACATACTTTACACCAGGGGTCCCCAACCCCCCGGCCGTGGACCAGTACCTGTCTGTGTCCTGTTAGGAACCGGGCTGAACAGCAGGAGGTGAGTGTGAGCATTATCGCCTGAGCTTTGCCTCCTGTCATATCAGCGGTGGCATTAGGTTCTCATAGGAGCATGAACCCTATTATGAATTGTGCATGTGAGGGATCTAGGCTGCGTGCTCCTTATGAGAATCTAATGCCTGATGATCTGAGGTAGAACAGTGCCATACTGAAACCATCCCCTCACCAACCCCCAACCCCCGTCCATGAAAAAACTGTCTTCCATGAAACTGATCCTGGGGACCACTGCTCTGCATCTACAGGAAGGAATGAGAAGCTTTGAAATAAACGCCTGAGCTCCCCGATAGTTACATTTCCCACTGAACAGTAATCAAGTAATCACTGTGGCTCAGCTATTTCTATTTTGAGTTTGGGGTACGAAATCACCTTCCCTCAGAAGGGAACTTTGGGGTTCTAAAAAGATTAATTTTGTGATCCTGAAATGTCTAAGACTAGGTCTTGGATACAGTTAATTTCACCAAGGACCTGCCATTCCAGTGGCAATTCTTGGCAGCTGGGGCAGGTGGCTTTTCCTGGTAACACCCCAACAAAAACTTGAGCTCTTTTGCAGGTGGCTTTTCCTGGTAACACCCCAACAAAAACTTGAACTCTTTTGCAGGTGGCTTTTCCTGGTAACACCCCAACAAAAACTTGAGCTCTTTTGCAGGTGGCTTTTCCTGGTAACACCCCAACAAAAACTTGAGCTCTTTTGCCAATGTTTACACTGTGTATTCATGATTTATTATCTACTGGATCTCAGATCCTTTCCTCTCACTGGAGTAAACACTTTTTTTTTTTTTTTGGCAGCAGTGCTTGATGTCTTGTAGAGTTACTCTGGAGCAAGCTGAATAACTGCATCCTGGTGCTGAGATGTTGGGCTCAGTCTTGCCTATGCCCCTTCTCACTGAAAATGCCCCTGCTCACAGAAACACAGCTAGGATGTATATATATATGATTTTTTTTTTTGACAAGATGGAAACCATTTGGATTAGGGGAAGCTAACATCATTGCTATGTATCTGTTCCATAGCAACAAGACAGATTTTTAACTCAATCAGATGTGTCCCCTCCTGATATTAGGCTATAAAATAATCTGAAAATTGCCAAGGTCTCAGGGAGAGGAGAAAGACAAAACATCAAGAAAAACAAAAAATATTAGCACACCCCAGAGATACTTCTGATCACAAAAGCTTTCTCATTGCTTCCCAGTTCCAGTCCACAAATACCAATGTAAAATTTTCTGTTTTCTAAAACTGACCTGTGAGATTCTGCCACTTTGAGAACTTGGCAGAAAGTTACTAAATACACAGCATAAAGATAACCTGTTGATCATTTCTGTGGGGGTGGTGTGCTTCCAGCAGACTCAGTTCCTCAACTTGCCTTACGAGTTTAATTCATGTATAAATCTGACCTCCAGCTATGTGGGAATTGCATTCATCCATTCTCACACTGCTGTTAAAGACGAACCTGAGACTAATTTATAAAGAAAAAGAGCTTTAATGAACTCACAGTTCCACATGGCTGGGGAGGCCTGACAATCACGACGGAAGGTGAAAGCCACGTCTTACGTGGAGGCAGGCAAGAAAGAAATGAAAGCCAAGTGAAAGGGGAGACCCTTTATGAAACCATCAGATCTCGTGAGACTTATTCACTACCACGAGAACAAAATGGGGGAACTGTCCACCATGGCTCAATTATCTCCCACTGGGTTCCTTCTACAACACATGGGAATTATGGGAGTTACAATTCAAGATGAGATTTGGGTGGGAACACAGTCAAATCATATCATGAATAAATGAATGGACCAACCTCAGCAGGATGGCCTTAATCTGTTGATTTTCCTGCCTCTCCTATTCTTGTCCTGTTCTAATGGTTCTATCTTTCTGTTTTTCAGGAGAACATTTCAGAATAGGAATAGGCCAAGTGCTGAGAAGATGAGTCTTAGGATTGATTCGAATACAAACTTTCCGGAGTGTGTTGTAGATGCAGGAAAAGTCATCCTTGGGACTCGGTGGAGGCAGGAGATGGACCCTCGCCTGCGGGAGAAACAGAATGAAATCATCCTGCAAGCAGTATGTGCTCTGCTGAATTCTGGTGGGGGCATAATCAAGGCTGAGATTGAGAACAAAGGCTACAATTATGAAAGCCATGGAGTAGGATTGGATGTGCCTCCAATTTTCAGAAGCCATTTAGATGAGATGCAGCAGGAAAACCACTTTTTGATTTTTGTGAAATCATGGAACACAGAGGCCGGTGTGCCACTTGCTACCTTATGCTCCAATTTGTACCACAGACAGAGAACATCCACTGATGTCATGGATTCTCAGGAAGCTCTGGCATTCCTCAAACGGAGGACTCAGACTCTTACGAATATTAATGTTTCCAATTCATTAAGTCCACAGGCAGCTCAGAGTAGTGTACAATATGAAGGTAACACAAAGGCCTTAGCTGCTGCTTTATTTGATAGAAAGCGGCTTCAGTATCTGGAAAAACTCAACTTCCCTGAGTCCAAACATGTTGAATTTGTAATGTTCTCAACAGACGTGTCGCACTGTGTTAAAGACAGACTTCCGAAGTGTGTTTCTGCGTTTGCAAATACCGAAGGAGGATATGTATTTTTTGGTGTGCACGATGGGACTTGTCAAGTGATCGGATGTGAAAAAGAGAAAATAGACCTTACGAGCTTGAGGGCTTCTATTGATGGCTGTATTAAGAAGCTACCTGTCCATCATTTCTGCACACAAAGGCCTGAGATACAGTATGTCCTTAACTTCCTTGAAGTGCATGATAAGGGGGCCCTTCGTGGATATGTCTGTGCAATCAAGGTGGAGCAATTCTGCTGTGCGGTGTTTGCCAAAGCGCCTAGTTCCTGGCAGGTGAAGGACAACCGTGTGAGACAATTGCCCACAAGAGAATGGACTGCTTGGATGATGGAAGCCGACCCAGGTTAGGGAGCAATATCCAAAATGGTTGTAATGTTTGCTGGCAGCAAGGCAGGGCAGATCAGAGAGGAAAGAGAGACATGGTATTCCTTGGCATCTGGGGAAGGAGATTTACTCTCTGAGTTGCAATTGTCTGACTTATTAATCCCTGTAGATGCAGTTCGTGGTTATTGCCCTTCCTTTTTTCTGCCATCTTAATTAGTCTTCATTCAATAGATGCCCTGGCTAGTAGCCCCATTAAAGGCTGGTGCAGGGGGCTGTTTCACCTAGTTATTTCAATTTTCACATCCTTTCTTATGTACATATTCAAGCCTCTTCTCTTATTTTTCTATTATGAGCTTGCATTTAATTAGTCAGGAAATTTCTTTTTTTCACATGTACAGATGTGTTCCCTTTAATTTACTGCCACTTTCCTCTGACTTTCCCTTCTTTTTTTTTTTTTTAATTATACTTTAAGTTCTAGGGTACATGTGCATAACCTGCAGGTTTGTTACATATGTATACTTGTGCCATGTTGGTGTGCTGCACCCATCACCTCGTCAGCACCCATCAACTCGTCATTTACATGGGGGGAGGGATTCCATTGGGAGTTATACCTGACTTTCCCTTCTTAAATATTCGCCCTTTCTCACTGCCCACTTCCCTTTTTTGGACCAAAACATGACCAAATCATGGCTTTCGCTCTGTTTTCCCATTTTTTCCTTTGGGGAGCCAGTACGTGATAAGCCAGAGGATGGTTGGTGACACGCATCTACTCTGGAAAAGGAAAGCCTGAGATAAAATTAGACAAGAGAAAACCAATAGTAACTTCTTCAAAAGTCCAGAAAAAACAAAGTCCACTTCATAATCTGCTTGGATATTTATATCCATTGGCCTTTGCATCTTCTCATCATTTTTCTTTTAAAAATAGCATTCTGAAAATATAAAAACAGGCTGGGTATGGTGGCTCATGCCTATAATCCCAGCACTTTGGGAGTCTGAGGGGGGCAGATCACCTGAGGTCAGGAGTTCGAGACCAGCCTGGCCAACATGGTGAAACTCCGTCTCTATCAAAAATACAAAAAATTAGCTGGATGTGGTGATGCACGCTTGTAATCCCAGCTACTCAGGAGGATCGCTTGAACCTGAGAGACGGAGGTTGCAGAGAGCTGAGACCATGCCACTGCACTCCAGCCTGGGCAACAGTGTGAGACTGTCTCAAAATATAATTAAATAAATAATAGAAGTATAGTTTCGTTTTGACATAATAAAATTAAAAAGTGTTGCTTCATGCTAGGTTTTTTCCTTCAAAAACCTCAGTAGGCTTTCCTGAGCTGACCCAAGATGTAAAGGCAAGTATCTGTGGGCCGTGGCTTGAGTTGTAAGACTAGGTGAAAGACTTTGCAGCACAGTTCAGCTGTAAGTTGGGGTCTGCCTTTTTGCATATTGAATCCTTGGTTCTTGTTTCCTAAGATCTTTCCAGGTGTCCTGAGATGGTCCTTGCGTTGAGTTTGTCATCTGCCACACCCCGCAGCAAGACCGTGTGCATTCATAAGAATTTGGAACGTCTGAAAGAGCAGCAGAAACGCTACTTTCCAGGTAATTGGCCATCTCTGGTTGCTTTGGAATATGTTGATTGTTCATTCATATAAAAAATTGACTCCTACTTTATATTATATACGGGATCAATTCCAGAGGTTTAAGGACTTAAATATGAAAGCCAAACCTTTAAAACTGTCAGTAGAAAATATATATGAGTAATTATATCACTGGGGTAGGAAAGGATTTCCTAAACCAGACACAAAAGGATCAAACTTAAACAAAAAGATTGATAAATGTTACTACATTAAAATTAAGAGCTGTTCCTCAAAATATACCTTAAAGAAAGTGAAAAGACTGGGCACAGTGGTTCATACCTATAATCCCAGCACTTGGGTGAGGTGTGGAATTGCTTAAGTCCAGGAGTTTGAGACCAGCCTGGACAACATAGCAAGACCCCGTCTCTACAAAGTAGCGGCACTCTACTATGCCAGGCTAATTTTTTAACTTTTGTAGAGATGGAGTCTCCCTGTGTTGCCCAGGTTGGTTTCAAACTCCTGGACTCAAGCAATCCTTCCACCTGAGCTTCCCAAAGTGCTGGGAATACAGGCATGAGCCACTATGCCCAGCCACCAGTCTTTTTTTTTTTTTTTTTTTTTTTTGAGATAAAGTTTCATTCTTGTTGCCCAGGCTGGAGTGCAATGGTGAAACCTTGGCTCACTGTAATCTCCACCTCCCGGGTTCAAGCGGTTCTTCTGCCTCAGCCTCCCAGGTAGCTGGAATTAGAGGTGCATGCCACCACACCCAGCTATTTTTTTTTTTCATTTTTAGTAGAGACGGGGTTTCACCATATTGGCCAGGCTGGTCTTAAACTTCCGACGTCAGGTAATATACCCACCTCAGCCTCCCAAAGTGCTGGGATTACAGGTATGAGCCACAGCACCCAGCCCAGTCATTTTTTTGATGGACTTTTATATGATGTTTAATTTCTTCATTTTTAAACATTGCTACAGTATACATTTTACCATAATATACCTGAGGTGTTCTTTAAGGATAAATTCCAAGTGGTGGCCGGGCACAGTGGCTCAGGCCTGTAATCCCAGCACTTTGGGAGGCCGAGGCAGGTGGATCACAAGGTCAGGAGATCAAGACCATCCTGGCTAACAGAGTGAAACCCCTTCTGTACTAAAAATACAAAAAATTAGCTGGGCATGGTGGTATGCGCCTGTGGTCCCAGCTCCTCAGGAGGTTGAAGAAAGAGAATCTCTTGAACCCGGTAGGCGGAGGTTGCAGTGAGCCGAGATTGTGCCACTGCACTCCAGCCTGGGCAACAGAGCGAGACTCCATTTCAAAAAAGAAAAGAAAAGAAAAGTAAAGAAAAAAATTCCAAATAGTATAATTGCTTGTAAATTTAGATGGATATCGCCAGATTGTAATCCAAAACATATATCCAAATACACTTTCACCAACATGATATTATCATGGCATTTCTCTTCTGGAAGAAGCTTAGAATCATTTTATCCTACCAGAAAGAAAAAGGGAGATGGCCGGGTGAGGTGGCTCACACCTGTAATCCCGGCACTTTAGGAGACCAAGGTGGGAGGATCACTTGAGCCCAGGAGTTTAAGACCAGCCTAGGCAACATGGTGAAACTCTGTCTCTACAAAGAAATACAAAAATTAGCTGGATATGGTGGCATGTACTTGTAGTCCCAGCTACCTGGAAAACTGAGGTGGGAGAATCACCTGAGCTCAGGAAGTAGAGGCTGCAGTGAGCCATGATCATACCATTGCACCCCTGTTTAGGTGACAGAGCAAGACCACGTCCCTCCCCCCGCCAAAAAAGAGTCTCCATGCTGTCCCTTTTTAGTCAAACACTCCCCAAATCCCTAACCTCTGGCATCCGTAAGTGAAACCATACAGTACGTAATCTTGCCAGGTGTTAAGATGGCACTCTAATGCCTTCCTCCCCATCCTCGTTTTCACCTCTTTGCTTCACACTTTGGATGTCAGCAACACAAACTGCTTGGAGTGAGTGACCTGAATGGACTTTGCTTTTTTTTTTTTTTTTGAGACAGGATCTCACTCTGTTGCGCAGGCTGGAGTGCAGTGGTGTGACCTCAGCTCACCGCAATCTCCGCCTCCTGGGTTCAAGTGATTCTCGTGCCTCAGCCCCCCGAGCAGCTGGGATTACAGGCACGCACCACCGTGCCTGGCTAATTTTTGTATTTTTTGTAGAGATGGAGTTTCACCATGTTGGCCAGGCTGGTCTTGAACTCCTGGGCTTAAGTGATCCAACTGTCTCGGCCTCCCAGAGTGCTGGGATCACAGGCATGAGCCACCGCGCCCGGCTTCCTTGCTGTTTTCTTGTTCCTGAGTGTTACTCATGTGCCCTCTTTTGACCATCTCTCTATTCTCCTCTTCAACTCACAAACTCAAAGTCATCCTTTAATAATCAGCTCAGGGCTGGGTGTGGTGGCTCACGCCTGTAATCCCAGCACTTTGGGAGGCCCAGGCAGGCAGATCACCTGAGCCCAGGAGTTTGAGACTAGCCTGGCCAACATGGTGAAACCCCATCTCTACAAAAAATAGAAAAATTAGCTGGGCGTGGTGGTGCACACCGTTGGTCCCAGCTACTCCAGAGGCTGAGGCAGGAGAATCACTTGAACTCAGAAGACAGAGGTTGCAGTGAGCTGAGATCATGCCACTGTACTCTGGCCTGTGTGACAGAGTAAGACTCCATCTCAAAAAAAAAAAAAAAAGAAAAGAAAAGAAAAAAGAGAAAAAAGAATCAGCTCAGGTGTTTCCTTCTTCATACTTTCATATTTTCTTCTTTCCTAAATTGTACCTTTCCTTGGTATTCACATAATACTTTCTGTCCTTCCCTCTGGTTGTATTGACCACTTTGTACCATAATTATTATTGTCTGTTTATACCAGCTAATTAGTGCTCCATCAAAACGAGAATTGTTTATCCTTTTATTACTAATGTATAAGCTATTGTAGATACATGGTAGAGTGCCAGTGTTGATTGAACCTTCTACGTATAATGATGATTACTAGCTTGTCTGAGGCTTTTCTAATTTCTTCCCATTCTTTCCCTGTCTAGTATTTTCAGACAGAGTGGTGTATACTCCAGAAAGCCTCTACAAGGAACTCTTCTCACAACATAAAGGACTCAGAGACTTAATAAATACAGAAATGCGCCCTTTCTCTCAAGGAATATTGATTTTTTCTCAAAGCTGGGCTGTGGACTTAGGTCTGCAAGAGAAGCAGGGAGTCATCTGTGATGCTCTTCTAATTTCCCAGAACAACACCCCTATTCTCTACACCATCTTCAGCAAGTGGGATGCAGGGTGCAAGGGCTATTCTATGGTAGTTGCTTATTCTTTGAAGCAGAAGCTGGTAAACAAAGGCGGCTACACTGGGAGGTTATGCATTACCCCCTTGGTCTGTGTGCTGAATTCTGATAGAAAAGCACAGAGCGTTTACGGTTCATATTTACAAATTTACCCTGAATCCTATAACTTCATGACCCCCCAGCACATGGAAGCCCTGTTACAGTCCCTCGTGATAGTCTTGCTTGGGTTCAAATCCTTCTTAAGTGAAGAGCTGGGCTCTGAGGTTTTGAACCTACTGACAAATAAACAGTATGAGTTGCTTTCAAAGAACCTTCGCAAGACCAAAGAGTTGTTTGTTTATGGCTTACCTGGATCAGGGAAGACCATCTTGGCTCTCAATATCATGGAGAAGATCAAGAATGTGTTTCACTGTCAACCGACTAACATTCTCTACATCTGTGAAAATTACCCCCTGAAGAAGTTGGTGAGGTATGCTGCCTGTCTGTGTTCACTTTCTTTTCTTGAGTGACTGTGGCTGGTGTGGCTTTCAGTTTACTTGCTAAAATTCATATTGCATTTACCGTGCCCAGAGGGGTTTAAGAGTAGAATTGGCTTTGTTTGTTTCATTGGGGGAAAACCTGACTGTGTTTCTTACTGTTTCAGCAAGAAAAACATCTGCCAGCCAGTGACCCGGAAAACCTTCATGAAAAACAACTTTGAACACGTCCAGCACATTGTCATTGATGATGCTCAGAATTTCCGCACTGAAGATGGGGACTGGTATGGGAAAGCAAAGTTCATCACTCAGACAGCAAGGGATGGCCCAGGAGTTCTCTGGATCTTTCTGGACTACTTTCAGACCAATCACTTGAGTTGCAGTGGCCTCCCACCTCTCTCAGCCCAGTATCCAAGAGAAGAGATCACCAGAGTGGTCCGCAGTGCAGATCCAATAGCCAATTACCTACAACAAATAATGCAGGAAGCCAGACAAAATCTTCCACCTAACCTCCCCCCTGAGTCCCTGGAGATGCTCTATGAACCTAAATGGGCTCAAGGTGTCCCAGGCAACTTAGAGATTATTGAAGACTTGAACTTGGAGGAGATACTGGTCTATGTAGCGGATAAATGCCGTTTCCTCTTCCGGAATGGTTATTCTCCGAGGGATATTGCTGTGCTTTTCACCAAAGCAAGTGAAGTGGAAAAATATAAAGACAGGCTTCTAACAGCAATGAGGAAGAGAAAAATGTCTCAGCTCGATGAGGAATGTGATCTGTTACTACAGGTCGGTGACGCATTGGATGTTCTGACCAATCACATTGTGTTGGACAGTGTCTGTCGATTTTCTGGCCTGGAAAGAAATATCGTATTTGGAATCAATCCAGGAGTAACCCAACACGCTGGGGTCTACAATCTTCTGCTCTGTTTGGCTTCTAGGGCAAAAAGACATCTGTATATTCTGAAGGCTTCTGTGTGACAGGAAAACCCAAGCCTAAGAAACAATTAAGTGATTCTCATCTCTAATTAACTGTGAAACCATTTGATCCAAACATGTAGGCACACACTCACTTACTAAGTCACATACTTTTCTAGGTGCTGGGGATTGAGGACGAATCGATGTAAGATTTCTCCTTTAGGGCAGAGACATACCACTGACAAGTACATAGATAGACAAGGAATTTTCCATAGTAATAAGGGATATCAGTAATTAGAGGACCGTGAGACTCAGAGGGGGGTGTGTGTGTGTGTGTGTGTGTGTGTGTGTGTGTATGTGTGCATGTGCGCGCGCACATGTGTGTAGGTAGATGGAGGGAGGGGGTGATTATTTTGGGTGGTCAGGGAAGTGCTCAGTGAGGGAAGAACTTGTCATGAGAATCTCTG